TGGTTTTTACGTGATCATGTTCAAATAAAGAAACGACACTTAATGTACCTACTTGTGTTTGGATCTCAAACTGTATCAGCTATTTTATTTGAAAAATAATACCTAGGGACAATTTATATCTAAAACCGGCACTGCTTCAATGTGTTCTAAGATCTTTACTAGGTTTGCATTGTACATTTAATAAATAAGACTTGATATTTAGCATATATTAGAAAATCAAATTGAATCTGGTACATTGAATCAGATAAGGTAGATAACTCGTTATTATTTTTATGTATATTTGTACATAATGTGTATTTTTATATGAATTTTTGTGAAGATGTATCGATTTTAAATTTCAAAAAATGTTTACTATTTTATATAAATAACACACTTGTACTCTCTTTTGGATTCCGTTTTATTGTACCCATTTTATTTTACATTCACTATCTAACATTCTCATAAATTACAATTAACAAGTTGTATAATTAGATATACAAAATAATAATTGGTAATTTTGCTCTGTTAATAGTACATCAGTTATTAAATTTCATTTGAAATAATCCGCTAAATTTTCGGGCTTGCGCAAAATTGACAAAGTGCAACATGTACACTTTTTATCCCTTCTTTTTGGAAACAAGGTCATTCAATGTAAAAGATATGCAGTGCTTGGTATATGTATGTATGGAAGTATGTGACCACAACATACGACTTCACTCGAGAAAAAAAGCCTATTATTATCAATAGATACCTATACAAGACAAGAATGTATGTCTAATTAGTCTCCATGGTCTAATTGTTGACATTGCCTACAGATTTTATGAGAAGTTAGGCCATCCGTGAGCAGGGGGCAGCGCTGTCAAAACCTTCAGATCTAAGAAAATGTGGCTCTAAAAGGAACATTTTGTTACTTAAATTATTATAAAAAGGCAATAAAAATAACAAATATAATAAATACTAATGATAATTGGATTTAAATATGGTATAGATTTAAGATTTAATCCGATTACGTCATTTCTTCTATGCTATACATAACATAGAGAAGCACCACTTGTTAAGGAGTGTAGACGTTGTAGAGAAAAAGAACGATAGTTTGGGTACTCTATCTCTCTCTTTTAATTTTATTTGAATGTCTAGTCCAGGGAGACTAGATAAGGAGCACAAACTCATACGGGAAAATTGACAAAATTTGTCCAAGAAATGGCAGAAGTTGTGGTGGCGCTAGTGTTCCATGTGACCCAAGTGAATGTAGCATAATAAGTACGAGTGAAGTAAGCAAATAACCAATTTTATTTATAAATATATAAATATTATAAATGAGTTTAGTAAATATATCGGGGAGGTATGTTAACCTAAAAACTAGAAGTCAAGTCAATAATTATTACAATTTGTTTTTATAATGGTAAATAAAAAGTTTCGAAAATAATTTAAATATGGTAATAGTATGTGAAGTGAATGACTGTCAACAGATTTTAAATAAAGCAGTACGTTTGTGATCTGCATTTTCAATCTAATGATGTCCAGCAGTTCTATATTACAACTTGACCGAAGAGTGGGTTAATATTATGGCAAAAGGTCGAATAATTCGGAAGTTGGAAGTAGCTTCTTTGATTCTTAATAAGGTAGAGAAATTTTTAAATAGAAAGATTTCATAAGTGAAAATATTGTATAATTGAATGATGTATTGTTTCTTTATATATCTTGCAGCAGCTTCAACAGCAAGAGCATCCGCTACACCAGCAACAACGGGTGCAGCAGCTGCAACAAGAGCAACAGTTACAACAACAACAACAACAAGAACAGCAAGTAAATCAAGAGCAATTAAGTTACAATGAGATTATACTAGAAAGTGAGCATCCTGTCCTGTATAATCTAATAAAAGAAAAGTTCTGTTGACGTGTGATGAGGTCTCGACAAAACAACTATGAATATGTTCACATAATATTGACAATAGCAACAAAGTATACTTTATTTATTTCTACATATTCTTGTAATTTATATTACGTGCATAAATAATTAAATTCGTATCTTTCATATAATTCTTGCTGGTGACATCG